AAAAAAGTTTTCTGTTTAATTTAATTGCAATTTTGTTTTTGTTTTTCTGAGCAAAAAATAAATATCATACATTTTTCCCTGATTTACAGAAGAGACCCACTAAAATGTCATTCAGTGTAACAATCTTGTCAGGCATATTTACAACAAAAATCTATTTATGACATATTAAAAGACTAATTACTTTCACCTCAAATACTAATTAGTTGTAATTTTACATTTCTAAAATGTCTCACTATCCTAGGTTTTGCCCATTTGTCAGCAAGAATTTTTACTCATTTAAAACACAATCAAATTTAATATGCTCCCTTATTCTTTTATATATTTTAATATGTACACGTCAGAATAAGCATGTTGTTTGAATTTTTACATAAATATTGTGTTACACGGAATGACAATGTAACATTATTTCAACCAAATTTTGACATTTTATTCTCCAAAAACGTATTTGAAACCTTAAAAGTAGACACTTTTCTTACATTTAATGTGCTTTCTATGGACATAAAATCACTTTTGTTAAAAAAAATGTCTTTTGATGCGGACATCTTAATGTCTTTGACCCATGCATACACACATGCACAGGTCCAAGGCCTTTATGTTTGCAAGCACACATGTACAAATGTGAGCATAATCAACATGCTCCTGAACACTAGTTGTTTCTCTTACTTTCATTCTTCCCCATTCACTTTCAATGGCTGCATGTGGAACACCACAAGTGTGACTTTGTGCCTTTTTGTACAAAATAAACAAATTTTCATAATTTTTTATCTCATATTGTGAAAATTATTCATAAATAATGTTTTTTTTCACTCAAAAAATGAGGTGCCTAACTCAGATAAATGAGGCCTACGATTAATCAGATGCAAATAGAAACACAAAACCAGTCCTAAATGAAAGAAAACGCTATGCCAAGGTAAATACACTTTTACATTCTATGGCACCTTTAAATAAAGAGATGCTCAAACGTCCCATAAACCCAGAGGGCAAACACGATGGAAACACATTCTGCTCGTGTCAAACTGAAGAACCCACCTGAGTATCAGTCAGATGCAGGACCGTCTTCTTGTAGGAGACGATGTCAAAGTCAGTGGCTTTCCAGATGGCGTGACCGAGCAGATCACCCACCTTCTTCTTCTTTGTAATGACGATGAGATACATGCCTGAGAAAAAGCCAGAGGCATTAAACGTGGAAACAGCTCGATTCAGACTTCAGCTCATCCTGAGAAATCAAACCTGCCACCAGCCGAATGGTTCCCATGATGCCACACATCGGACGCGTCACTGCTGACGGAGGGATGTCCTTCCTCACTGAAAGAGAACAGAAGACACTATGCTTACCGGCTCATATTACTGGTTAGAATACATATTTATAATTGTATTCTAATATTAACAACATTATACTAGATATGTATTGTTTAAATGCTAGACCTTGATATTTATACTTATTATATAATAGGCAAATATTATCTTTTTATTTTAGGTAACACTTTATAATAACTTTCATTAATAAATCATTAACAAACATTATGTAATGCTTAAAGGATCGTTAGTTAACTCTTTCCCCGCCATTGACGAGTTATCTCGTCTTTTAGAAGAAAACGCTTCCCCGCCAAAGACGAGTTTTTAGGTGCTAGGAAACGCTGTTTTGTACTCATTTATTGAGGAGTCGGCTGCGGTGCTTCACTGCACAGAACAGACGCCGAGAGAGGCGACACTTCTCCGGGAAAGTCAGACCCTCGCGTTCGCGGGACAGCACTGGAGAAATCTTCCAACTGAAGTCGCTAGGTTTGTCAGTATGAATATACTTTCACGCTTAGTAACACATACAGCTGTTCCCTCGCCACAGTGCAACAGTGAAAAGGGACCCCTTTCAAACAGTGTCGCGTTCCCAACGTTGTTTAAGTGACATACACCGGTATTGCGTTATTTTAAAAATTCATATCATAACAAAAATAAACACCGGTGTTCGGTATGAACCGGTATACCGCCCAGCACTACCCAGAATGACTCGATTCGTTCCAATGCTTCTGTGACCTCAAATGAGCTTTAAAAATGCAATAAGAGTCGTCATAAAATGAAGCAAGTCACTACGAGCAGATAAAGGCTTCAGTGTGTGCAGATACTGATAGCGTCTGTCCTTTCATCAACTCTGTGTTGTTCAGCACCTGCGAGGGTCACTTCTGTGGACACGCGGTCGATGGCGAGGACGTCTCCAGCTCCATCGTCACACGCCTCGATGTAGAACTTCTCCGCAGTCGTGTGTCTGTCAACGAGAGGAAAGACATTCAATGCATTTAATGCAGTCAAATCCTTACAACAGAGCAGAACTTATATATATATATATATATATAGTTTGTAAAATGGCACATTTCTTTAAATATCTGCTTAACATCAGTCAGTCAAGCATTATAATACGATAATAAGAAAATCAAGTATTATTTAATAATAATAATAATAATATAAATCGCACAAAGGATTAATGAGCTGCTGGATTCATGAATATTAATCACGTTGCCTGCGTTCGCTCGAACTGATTCGCTGAAATCAAAACAGGGACGATAATAGGTGAGCACCAACGTTTCATCTGCAGATATGGTCTTGTTTAGGGGTCTGTGTCTTTGTGCAGACAGACATCTGACTGATAAGTAGAGACTGTGTTTTTCAGCAATAGTGTGCACCCTTAACTTACAGAGAAAAAAAGGTCAGGGAAAAATGTGTAGATGGAAAAATCTCCATAAAAGTGCATTTTTCTTTTTTTTTTTGTACTTGTTACTTTGCCCTTTTTGTTAGGAAATGTTTATTTACTATTTATTATGTTTTTTTAAGGTATCTAATATTTTGATACTTAATTTCCATGATCTAAATATTCTTAAAAATTAAAAGTTTGTTGTCATTTGGAAGTGTGAAGGCCTTCTTGCATTATTATGCCGTTACATTATGATTATATATTCAGTGGCATAAAATGGTCTTTAAAATGACAATAATATCGCTTATCGCAATTATTTCTGGGGCAATATATCGCACAACAAAAACTTGTTATCGTGGCAGGCCTAAACACTGCACAACTTATTATATTATATTGCATTACATTATATATAAATTATAATGTACTGCAAACTTGCATATTAATTAGGCTATGTGCATTAGACTGTATGTAAACTTTATTTACACAAATGTAGATTTGCAGCACTTAAAAATTATTTAAAAATTGTATTTGCTGAAAACAAGTGAATTTCTTACAATTCTCTAAATTACTTACAATTTATATTGATTAAACTCCCTTTTTTTTTATGATTTGATTTTACATATTTTGGTATTATTATTATTTGTTGTTATAATAATAAGCCTATTTCTAAAACGTCAAATGACATTAAGAATTCATGTTTGAAATCACACTAATAAGAAAAATGAATAGATCTAACAGATCGAAGTACAGAATTCAACAGAAGAGAATATTTTCAATGTTTTATTTCTTTATAATTATTACCATTTTAAAACGTTCATAGTACGGGCTTTTTTCACAGTATTTACATCAGACTCTTCCAAATGGAGCCAAGCTTCAATACATAATTAATAAATAAAAAATTAGATGATTATTTATTTGATTAAACATTTTTCATACAGAAATGATCTCAGAAATGATATTTTAAATTCCTTTTTTTATGGTTGTGATTATATTTTTATGATTATTTTACTTCATTTTATGTAAAGCACTTTGAAGTACCATTGTGTGTGTGCTATATAAATAAACTGGCCTTGCCTAGTGACATTTAGTGATTTTTTTTGCGTAAATTACTTAAAATTTATATTGATTAGCCTCCCTTATGAATTTATTTACTTTTTATAATGTGCTTTTACATTTTTCTCGATTCATTATTAGTTATAGTGATAGCAAATATTATAAATATTATTGCATATATATATACATATGTATGATTTTGGCATGTGCACGACGACGACGACGACGACAACAACAACAACAACAACAACGAGTTAGCATAGCTAGCTAACAACAGTTTGACCAGTTTTATTCGAGATTAATTGATTTTTGACTGTAATCTGATCAGAATGATTGATGAATATCAGCACTAAGTTATCTGTGGCTCAAAACAGAACAAGCCACTCACTTAAATAACATTTCGGGAAATAATAATGGCCCTACTTGCGGTCTAGACAGACACAGATAGGCAGCTGACTAGGTTTTGAGACACAGCCTCAGACAGACGCCTGACTGAACTCACAGCATTCACAGGCTTTAACCGATCAAAGACAACCTCTGAACTCTCTTCGACTCATCTAATCGATAATCAGGAATCGATGAGCGTCAGAGGAGTCGATTAATACTCACAGATTGAAGGTGTTGTAGGTGCTCGCCATTTTTCCATCAGTTCGTTCCTGACCTTCGTGACGTGTCACTCCAGCAGCGAACACGAACCGGAAATGACCTCTGGAGGACAGATAAAAGTCCCGTGTTGTAATAAAAGTCCCATGGGATATGCCTCTCTCTGTTTTCTTGCTGCTTGATATTGCAAATTGGTGTGCCTTACCATATTATTTTAATGTATTATCCTAATTATGAACGCACTGGTTTGTAGTGTAAACAGTTTTACCGTTTACTGCACTTTGTTATTCTTCTCGTTATTTTCCTACAGCTGCTAATGAACCGGAAGTCAGTAAAAAATAGTTACAGTAAACTTTAAAAAAAAAAAATTAATTGTAAGAATATTTTTCATTTATTTATTTTTTATTTTTTCCTGATTCACATTCCAACACAACAATCCCAAATGCCTAAGATTAAAAATATGCATTAAAAATTAAATAAAATAATTAATAACGATGATACACAAAAAATAAATTTCATTCACATAATAAAACATTAAACTGTAAATTAGGGAA